GCAAAGATATTAGGGAACCCCCACCCTCCCCCTCATGATGCTTAATCGACACAGTTGACTTTGATTTAATGCACATGTAAAACAACTCTACAGAAATCAATTATTTTTCTACAATAATTAAATAGATTCAACATCTTTCTTCAACAGAATGGCAGACTGCACAGATGGTTCCTTCCCAAAGGAAAATGTTCTGTAGGTACTGATATTACTGGGTGATCTATTAGACTTAATAGTTACTATATACGATAATGGATTTCTATACATTTTACATCAGATAAAAACTTTGGTTGTGAGATTCAGATAATTATTTTTTAAAAGCGAGACATTTTAAATGAGAATAAGAAAGAAAAGTATTTCTTTGTGCCCCCCTCTCCCTGTTAATGCCCTACCTGCCCCCCTGGCAACACTTTGCTAGATCCGCCCCTGCACAGCTATCAGCTGTCAGCTACCTAAAAAGGATCCTGGTGTTATTTGTCTCTCAGAAACAGTTCATAACTTCCCTTCAACTCATTCATGTCACCTAAAAGGTAAACCTGTTTCTCCATCACCTGTTCAGCTCTGATGATCCAGTAAGGACATCTCCTGGTTTCATCTTCATGTTTCCCTCTCACCACATATCCAAACCAATCATGACCAGCAGCTTTACAGCTGTGGCTCCAGCAAACATCAGCTGATACTAGAAATTAATATTAAATAAATTCTAACAACAGCTGATCAAGCTTAAACGTGCTGCTGTTGTTTAGCGCGACATCCGCTGGTTTCCTCTTTCGGCGCAAAGTGAGCGATAAACAAACAAGAGAGCCGATCAGCTGATCATTGATCAGTTTCATGATTGAAGTAGAAACGAGGAGAGGGAGGGGAGAGAATGAGAGAAGAAGAGGCAGCTGTGCAGCAAAGACACAGAATAACTCCAGCTTTGTGCCTTTTTCATTGTAGCTGAAGTTACGGGACAAACTGTTCCTTTTCACCTCAATAAGAAACGCGTTATTGATACGAGATGATCTGTTTTTTTAGGGGACGGTTGGCAACTCTACAACTAACCTTATGAATAAAATAAAGTTCAGTATCAGTAACATCATAGCACCCACCCAGCTGTAATATAAACTCCGTCATGCTAGCTAGTAGTACACATGTGCCAGCATCTGGCCAATGCACCACCTTTCGTTGTTTATACCGTTACACAAAAAAAACATCGGCCCATAAAAAACGAAAAATCACCATCGGCCCACCGGGAAAATGCCCGGTATGCCCGATGGCCAGTCCAGCTATGGTGTGAACCACAGGTTCATGAAGGTTCATGACACTAATAGGTTTGTTTTCAGAATATTTAACTCCATCCATCATCCCTGCTGTGGAAATGCTGCCACCATGATGCCTCACTGTGGGGATGATGTGTTCACGTTCCTGTGGAATGTTAGGTTTTTCAACTACTAACACTCCATCCTGCACAAAGTGCTTAACAGTGTAGAATGAAAGTAAAATAAATAAATTTCACAACAATGATGCCATAAAATATAGAAAAACAAATAAATGAAATCAACAACAACAACAACTAAGGCTGTTAAAACCAAAACGTTTTGGTCAATGTGTGTTAAAAGTCATAAAAACGATTTAAAATGTTCAGCGTTTGTGCAGATCTAATATTTAGAGGCAGACTGTTCCAGAGTCTGGGAGCTGCCACAGAGATGACTCAGTCACCACGAGATTTAAGTTTAGACCGTGGATAAGGTTAGTTTTAAACTGCACCTCATGGTTCTTCCTGAAGCATAAATAAGCAGGAGCTCAGACAGGTCAGCAGCGGCTCGAGTGATTTAAAAACAAAAAGTAAAATTTTAGATTGGATCCTGTAAGGAGCAGGAAGCCATGCACAGAGGCCCAAACTCTGTTAATATGCTCAGACAGCAGACGAGCAGCTGCATTTTGGTCCAACGGGTGACAATAAATAGAAACCTGGTCTAAACCAAAGCACAGAGAATTGCATGAAGGCCAAAAAGTTTAGTTTGGTCTGAGAAGACCGACTTATGCAGAGCACAGGGGGCTGAATACAAATGCATCACACACATTTCAGATATTTAATGGTAAAAACTTTTGAACACCATGGATAATTTTCCTTCTACTTCACAATCCTGGGATGCTTAGTGATGGTTTATCACACAAAATCCCCCATAACACATTTAAGGTTGCCGTGGTAACATGATAAGCATGGAAAAGTAAACAGGCCATAAAGAGTTTTTCAGGTAAGACTTTAGCTTGTTTATAATGTCCTCCTTCTTGCATAGTTACGTTTGTTGCTGCTGTCCCTTTAAATATTATTCTGGACTTCCTGTACAGCTCAGCATTGCATGTTGAAAAGCATTTGTAATCCTTTATTTAGGATTTTTGTGATGCTACCGCAGAATTGTCATTTCATACGCCGGCCATGTCTGTCCCGTCTATAACAACTGAAAATTAAATAAATAATAACATCAAAGGTCGATCCAATGGACCAGTATGGCAAGGCTGTGATGATCCACTTGGTAAAGTAAATGTGTTGATTATCTTTGTTGGCCTTCAGACAACAATTCTGATGGTTAAAGAATCAAACGGGTCAAACAAAGGAAAAAAAAAAGAAAATTGTCATTTTATCCCATCTGCTTAGCTCACAAACAGTATTTTAAAAGATTTCTGTATCAGATGTGATGTTTCACACATCGCCCACATAACTGATTGTTTTATTATCATTTAATTCAGTTTGTGAACGATGCTTGGTTCATTTTCCTTAACAGCCAAAATCCTTTAAAAAAGCTCTAAAGAAGGAAGAAAAACTGTTATGCACTCTACTCATCACCCTGCTGTTCCCACGAATGCCAAATAATGTGAAGGCTTTTAAACTGTTTTAATATGCAGCGGTTTCTAACAATGACCAGAGACATCTGATGATTTGTACATTTGATTTTTCGTACACTTCAGACCACTTCACTGTCTCACCGTATGAATCAGTGAGACTGTTTAGACTCAGTGTCCGAGTCAGTCAAAGTGTTCCTGTTTGCACTGCAAAAAGTTTCCATTTCATGTGAACAAAGTTCATGTAACACTAATAAAGACTTGACCTTTGCATTTATGTAATGAATGGAAGGTGAGCGTGAGAAGTCTGTGAGTCGTGCAGATTTGACTGTTCCTGCTTTCAGCACCTCAATAATTTGTTTGTGATGCAAAATGAACCAATAGCATCTCTGTGCTGCTTTGAGTAAACAAACATTAGATATGATCAGCTTCTGTTCCAGCAGAGAGGACCACGCACTGAAAGCCAGCTCATTTTAATGGTTGTTTTTTCTTATTTTAATGACTATATCAGAGCACAAACATGTTTCACAGCAGCCTGAAATAAATAAACAGGAAAAAGTTTACCTATTTCTAATTTCTATAACTGAACTTCTGCGTTATTTAAATGCAGACAGTTGATTAAAGAAATTAATAACATGTAGCTGATATTTCATATCAAAATAGCTACTGTGAAATAGGTCTGATTTGAAAACACTCACTGAGTTAACAGTTACTATCATAGTCCATTTGAGCTTCTGGTAGTTTTCCTGGGCGGAGCTGTCATCTCCTCACCTGGAGTTAATCTACTGAGCATATTTAACGCTTTAAGACCTACCATAGAACCAAGTCCGCCAGAGCTTATCTTTATATTTCTACATGCTGTAGTGCCATTTTTGGGAGCATTTCAAGTTGATATACATCTATACAACCATTATTTCACAAACTTTAATAATATGTATGCATTAAGTCCATAGTAACTACATAAACTGCAAAAAAGTGCAATAAACTATTAAAAAAATTGAAATTGTTTTTTTAGTTTTTTTACATATATTTCTAATTAGAGAAAATTCAGAGGGTTATCGATACCTCAAAACTGTAAATGCAAAAAAGTACAAAATAGTTTCCAACCACAGGTAATGTATTTTGAGCCTGTTGGCCAACAGATGGAGATCTTTGATTTTGCTGAGCTGCTTCTTCCCCTCGTCATTGCAGAGGCTCTCTTTCAGCCGTGCGTAGCCCAGCACGCACACACGTATTGATCAGCAGGGTAACAGATGGCCTCATTGTGCTGCTCTGAGCTCAGATTGATGGTGTTTGTGCTGCTTGAGCTCTCAGGGACACCCTTGTTGTATTTGCCCGTCAGTAGGTCACAAGCTAAGGGGGACCAGGTCATGGCTCCGTCACCTGACAGATACACAGACCTCATGTTGTCCCCAAGTTTTAAAACTTGAACTAAATCTTTTGTCCTACTTGGAACTGTCCGTGGTAAATAAAATGGTAAATGGCCTGTATTTATATAGCACTTTACTAGTCCCTAAGGACCCCAAAGCGCTTTACACATCCAGTCATCCACCCATTCACACACACATTCACACACTGGTAATGGCAAGCTACGTTGTAACCACAGCCACCCTGGGGCGCAAATAAACTAAGCTAAGTGAGTTGGTCGTTGAAACTGCTGGCCCAGATGGTCTCACCTACCGCACCCCCACCATTCTCATGGTCTACATGGGAAGGGAATGATGGGACAAGCACAATCGCAGCGGGATCGGCTGCAACTGAGGCGGATGAGAAGCTGGGGTCATTGCCAGTTGCAGTGGAGGACAGACTGTGCAGACCCAGATCACAGTCTGCTGGGTCATCCTCTAAAGCTGGTGGTGGAACCTCCGTAGGTGAGCAGTGATGGGCTTGATCCAGGACCCAGGTATTGTCCAGGGGCTCGCAGCAGTGATAATGCTTTAGCTGGTCATGCTGGGCAACTTTCACTTTAGACCTTGGGTTCAATTCACTTTAGAGTGAATTCACAGCACACAGCATCTATCATAGCTCTGCTCTAGGTTAATCATAGTATTGTTGTAGTTCAAAGAGATCATAGTTTTGGCTTTTGCTCCAAGTTTATTCCTATTGAAATGTTAGTTTAATTTTGCTCACAGTTTTTCACAAGTAAGACTCCAGACTTTAGTTATAGTTACTTTATTGTCAAGTCTCATTGGTTAAATGAGTACAGTACTCTCTGTATATAGTAATCATTGTCCTTAATGTAAATATGTAAGAAAAATTGTGTATGTTTCTGTTCTGTGTCCTGTGTCCTGTTTGTTTGTATATGTGTCTTTCTGGCTGCTGTTACAACCAAATTTCCCCTTGTGGGACAATTAAAGGATTATTCTATTCTATTCTTAAATCATCAGGCACCTTGTGTGTAGTTCAGCCGTTGTGTTTTCACATTACTTCACTGTAAATAAAGTGTGTGTTCCTTTCATTCTCCGTGCCTCCTGTGCCGTTCATTCTCCTGATGTACGCTCGGCCGTGACACTCCTAATTCTTTAAACATCGATCTGAACGTATGAAACCACAGAGTGAAGCTTGACTAACATCTTTTGAGCTGCTTAATCTTTGGATTCCTACCATATATTCAAAGACCAAGGCAAGAACACAAGTACACACACTGAGAAACAGCCAGAGTTAGCTAGTTTAACGTGACCATGTGAATAGCTGACAGAGGAGGTGGGAATGCAGGAGAGCACAAACACTGGGAGCAGGGAAATTCTACTTTGTTAAATTTTACATGCTAGAAGTGCACGTAACCTGGCAAGGATGCTGATGTAGATGCTAATTAGCACTAAGCTAACTCTGTTACAGAGTGTTAATATCGTACACGGTCCCTTTTCAAACAAAACCAATTAGATAAAAATAAAAACAGCACCTTTAATATTATTATCATCATTACTCCAGGATACAGGGTAAAGTGTTTCTTTAATGTGGCCCACACGTGCTCCTTCTGTGGACCTGATTTCATTGGTTAGCTGTTTAAACCAGTAAGTACCACCAACAAAGGCGGCTCACGACCAAACCAATATGTATATTCCCAAAAACATGCTCTCAGCTGGTCACAGTTCAGCAGCTAACCTTATAATAAGCATCATATAGAAATGTTAAACAGTGAGATTATCTAAACTGTGACATGAGTGCAGTGTAAACATGCCAACTTCAGGAACTTATCTCAGCTGCTGCAGGACAAGAAACATGTCTTTGGACTGTAGGAAGCATAAAGCAGCCAGTGGACAGCATGAGATCCAGTATTAAGGACAAACTGCTTTGATCTCAGTCTAACAGGCTGGTTTATCAGTCTACTTTAGGCTTCACTGACACACGTGGACCATCACACATTTGTAGTGACTGTCTTCACTCCACTGTGGCCTCCTGAAGACCGACCTCTCCACTTTCACTGCCTAAAGAACAGAAAGGACACAGAGCAGAGCATAAGGACAGACACATGTGAGTGTGACCCTCCATCATCTCCTCTGCTGTGTAACCAGCAGCTCCTCACCCCTGCGTCCAGTGTTTCTCTGACTTAGAGCTCAACTGCTTGATCTATAAGGCGGTTTGCTTTTTGCTAAAGACACACAGACACACAGAGACACAGAATCACATACCTTCTTTTTAGCCGTCTTCTACCATCAATATTTGCGAACACCCAAGCGAAAGCCCACAGGAATAGAAATGATGATCGCAACAATGACGCATGCCACTGTGATTATTGTTATGTTGTTGGATTTGTATTCTATCAATAAGAAAAGACAGAAGCACAAAATCAAAACCCAGCACATCTGAAGAAATGTCCCACCAACGTGCCCTGAACTCTGAGCTGGATCTTTAGTACTGACTGCTAGATTGGATCACCTGGAGGGTTGCCCTGCTGTGACTGGTTGTTAGGTTACAAGTGTGACCTTCTGTCATGCTCTGATGGTGGCATTTCTTTTATTTCTTTCTTCATTTTTAGTTCACTCATAACACTTGATTCAGATATCAGTATGTATCTACAGCACTGACCTCTGACATAGAGCTTCACTTGTTTCATCAGCAGGATGTTTCCCTCCCTGCTGTAGACGGTGCAGGTGTAGATGTTTGTGTCTTTCTCTGTGGGGCGGTCCAGGAACAGACTGAGGTCTCCAGTTTTCACCAGGTTTGCATACATCTCTGTTCGGCCTCTGTAATCCTTACTCTGTTCAACTGGCTGGTCCAGGCCATCTTGAAATACATGGACCCTATGATCACCACTGTCCATCCACTCCACTTTTGCATCTTCAGCCAGATGAAGTGTGGTTTTGCAGGGCAGCTGGACAGACCCCACCCCTGAATCCACCTCCTCTCTGTCAGCTGAGAGCACAACAAAGCACATCATGAGCTGTACAGACAGAAGAAAATCCTGAAGTTCATCTTTACTGCAGATCAACCAGGTGTCCTTTCTGATGAACTGTGATGCAGGATTTAAATTGAAATCAAAGAACTGAAGATCGCTGATGGACTGTGTGATATTCAGCTCCTGCACAGTAAAAATGAATGTATATAGTTTTGCGATGGCCAGTGGCTGAGCTGTGGTCTAGTTCAAAAAGCAGTAGATTGCTTCTGTGTGTGCCTTTGATGATTACTGACTTCATCAGAGGGGACTCTAGAGACTTCACTGAGCTTTGAGGGCACCACCTCCACGTGTGCTTCACTCTGTGTTTTCTGGCATGTGAATTAGACACTTAGTCAGAATTACTTGATCTCACACTCTGGTATCGTTCAACATTGTTTCTCAGCATGCAGCACATTTTGAATTTCCCTGAAAAAGAACCAACAAGTCTGCAGGAATGAAAGAAAACAGAAGATAATCTCCTTGCAGATGAAATAAATGTAGCTTCAAATGCAGTTATTCTTACATTTGAACCGTTGGTCTGACCAGTGAATGTGATCAAAGGCGGGATTCAGATTTCCATGTTTTGGTGGGAGGTTTGTGTTCAGCTCTTCCAGTTTGCTAAAGTTTGGGTGAGTGACACAGAACGACTCATGAACTGCATTATGGGTACTGTAGTATAAGAGGATAAACAGACATAGACCTCTGAAGAGTATTGACCTTTGACCTGGAATTATAGGTGTTGAGGTTTGTGGCTGACCTTTGACCTGCAGCTGTACATCTGTCAGTCTCCGTTCTTTCCTCCCATCACTGAGGGTGCAGCTATATTTGCCGCTGTCGGTCAGTTGTGGTTTTCTCAGAGTGAGGCTGAAGTCTAAAGAGTCCAGAGCATCAGGCCTCATCGACGTGCGCCCACTGTAACGCCGGTTTTGTCCTTTAAGATCATCTCCTTCTTCTCGTCGTACGTGGACGGTTGTGGGATCGAGATCATTGCGGGTCCACGTCACTGTGGGATTGTCGTCAGGTATAAAACCTGAGTGCTGACAGGGCAGCTGGACAGACTCTGCCTCTGTATTTCCTTCTACCTCCACAGCCAGAGCATGCTGGGAAACTGAGGACACAAAACAAAAAGAGCACAAATTAACTGCATGCTGTGGGTTCAACCATCCTCAAATCAACAACAAGGCACTTATCATAGATGGTTTAGTCATCTTAGTAATAATAAAGTATAACATATGTTGGCTCCTGATGATGGCTCCTGGGAACATTCAGGTTTCTTCTTCTAGTTCCCTGTGATGAGTGGAGGACATCGTCAGGAGATCCGACCCTGAAAGTTCACTAGAGGATCAGCCACAGCTGAACACTGTGGATTTTACATGTTGGATTTATCATTTTGGCTTTTCTCTGCTCATTTTTACCGTGTTGGATTTTAACCTCCAAGGATTTGGTTCCCTTCCTGTGGGATTATATCCACACAGATCAGAGATTAGTGCATCTCCAGACCTCAACGTGCTCCTCATCCTCTCTCCTCTCCAGGTCAGCATTAGAAATCACCATTAGTAGATTCATTAGATAAGAATAATTTAGGTGATTTGATAGACTGGTAAAACCTCTGGCCTTAAAACCTAACAGATCCTTGGGGCCTATTTTACAGGCGACTAAACTATAACCTGGTCAGTTATCAAGTTCACAGATTTAGAGCAGCTGATGATGGATGTGACTGAAGGTGCTTGGCTGCAAGGCCACCCTGGCAAGCATAGCTTTAGTGAAAGCAGGATCCACATTCGGACAGCAGTCAGAGCTGGGTGAGTCTCCTGCCCTCCTCCACCCGAGCTCTGTTTCCCTACTGGCAGTGATACTCGTGGGATCAGAGACTTCGACCTATAAGCAGAGAGCCGTTCCAGACTTTCCTGTACTGGGGTTCATAGTACAATCTACAGCAGAGCCCGTGGTGCTCTTTCCTTATCCCTGTATTTAGTTTAGAAATGGTGCAAAATTCTCATATGGATACAAATTTTGTAACTGTTAAGTTACGTCACTGAATTTACATGTAATGTATGTACATGTTTGGCCCTGTGTAGATTAAAGAACATCCAAAATATATTAAAGCTTGTGCACCGAATTTTAAACTCAGTAAAGGTGGATGCTGTACAATCAATCCACCTTAAAAACAAACAGGTCAAATAAATCATCAGACCCTCCAAGTTACCACCATACCCATGCCTGTTCTGACCACAGCTGTGACTAGATTTTAAATAATGATGACAATCACTGCATCATTGACAGTAACAGCATTTCACATGTATAAATACAGTAAATGATTCATATATAACACCTGTGATAATAACATTACCGTTCATGAGGAGCAGAAATAGCAGAAACATCTTCCGCCTGGTGTTTCTGTTAAATCTTCAGCAAACACAATGAAACACAACCTAAACTCACTGACAGCCAGAACAGAAACTGCTGACGCACAAAGAAAAGTTTACTTTCACTTCCAGAACAGTCTCTGTGTGTATACCACAACTCAGGAACAATAGGACATGAGGGTACTTCTGACACTGGAAACAACATCTCACCGATTTCACAGTTAGACAGTAAAAGGTGTTCACATTTTTTTACAGTGTAACATTAGATGATACCTGTTTGTCCAATTCAAACATCCGATTAAACTTCAAAGTTTTCTTTAAAGCAGTGTTTTCTTTACACACAAACTCACTGGCTTCACTTTAAGTTAGTGATGAAGTGGACTTATGTCTCTTTACTACAAATATAAACACATTTCATTGTTTCTGAAAATGATCAAAGTAAAAAATTCAATAACGCTCTATGAACTTACATCTTGACTCAGTTCCTGTTCTTGCTTCCCATCTTTAAACTTCTTCTCCTTTTCTGTCTCAGTTTGAAACACAGGCCCTTTTATTGTTGTTAACTAAGCGTAAGGACGCATGTGCGTGATGTATCCTGGGCTGTGATATAGTGCCTCAAGTGGCCTGTGTGGGTAAGACAGGGAGGATCCAAGAAAAAAGACGAGGGACCCTCAGAGGCCTCTGTGTGTAATAATCTAGCTGATCCTTGTGAAGGAAACGCTCCATATGTTGATATTTTATCTCCTTGTAATCAGTCAGCAGGTGATATTTTATTACACAGCAAACTCAGAACACTAGTTGTGACTACAGCAGAGAGCTCATCTGTAAGTGTACCAGGGTTACAGTCCATCTCAGTTAAATGCTTGCAGGCTGCTGCCATGATGTCTGTACTGTTGTTTGACCTCTTCGAAAGCTAAATCATACTCACAAAGAAAACAAGCCTGAGGACACGCTGATGCAGGAAATCCCACCAACACCAGCTCTCTCACTAACTGAAGGATTGCAGAATTAATCTATTTTCTGTTAAATTTACTGAAGCTTGTCCAAAAGCAAAGCAAGAAACAGAGTCCAGACTGATTTATTGATTTTATAAATGGAGGCCATCTCTGTGATCATTTACACTAAAACCATCGTAACCAAAACATTTACAGCACTTGTTATCAGCACATTTGTTCTTAAACTTGGAGACAGTTCAGAATCAGTCATCTTCCTTTGCTGCAGCCACGTCTCACATCAGCTGTGGGTTTATGAAGGCTGAATGTTTCTGAGGATCAGAATATGGACGAGTGTTTCACACGTGGATGTCATACAGTACACAAAGAGATGTTTATTCTTTACACACCAGAGAGATGAGTCAGCTCAAAGGTGTGCAGGTTTAGGAGAAGCCTTTGTTCTTAGACTCAAACAAACCCAGAAACATATTAGTAATCAAACATATCCTAAAACTTCTAGCTTGCTAATGTTTGTTTGTGTGCTTTTATTTTGAACATGTTAACATAATAACAACTAAAAAAACACACACACACACACACATAAACCAAAGCAGCATAAGGAGAACAGAATAATAATAGAATAATATTAATAATAATAATAACAAAAAAATCAAAATCTAATATCCTAATCATAATAAATAATTGAGCTAATTTAATCCCACCCCTTTCTTCTTTTTCTACCAGTTATCCTGTTCATCCAATCAAAAATCCTTCCTTTAAACATTTTTTTGATAAAAATCATTCTGAGTTACAGTTTACCTGTGCTGACGTCTACAGCTGAACAGGACTAGAACATTTTTAGATGTAATAAATAATAGAAAACAGAGTGTTAACTGTAAAGTAAGACGTGGTCTATAATGGGTTTACTTTGAGATTGGAGACATTATGTAAACTGTATTTATGTGATTAGGAGTTTGTTAGATGAGGCCTGTATTTAAAAGTAAACTGAGGTCACGAATCAAAGGGGGAATTCAAGTAGCTCTATCTATCTATATATATATAGATATATCTATCTATATATATATAGATATATATAGATATATCTATATATATCTATATATATATAGATAGATATATCTATATATATATAGATAGATAGAGCTACTTGAATTCCCCCTTTGATTCGTGACCTCAGTTTACTTTTAAATACAGGCCTCATCTAACAAACTCCTAATCACATAAATACAGTTTACATAATGTCTCCAATCTCAAAGTAAACCCATTATAGACCACGTCTTACTTTACAGTTAACACTCTGTTTTCTATTATTTATTACATCTAAAAATGTTCTAGTCCTGTTCAGCTGTAGACGTCAGCACAGGTAAACTGTAACTCAGAATGATTTTTATCAAAAAAATGTTTAAAGGAAGGATTTTTGATTGGATGAACAGGATAACTGGTAGAAAAAGAAGAAAGGGGTGGGATTAAATTAGCTCAATTATTTATTATGATTAGGATATTAGATTTTGATTTTTTTGTTATTATTATTATTAATATTATTCTATTATTATTCTGTTCTCCTTATGCTGCTTTGGTTTATGTGTGTGTGTGTGTGTGTTTTTTTAGTTGTTATTATGTTAACATGTTCAAAATAAAAGCACACAAACAAACATTAGCAAGCTAGAAGTTTTAGGATATGTTTGATTACTAATATGTTTCTGGGTTTGTTTGAGTCTAAGAACAAAGGCTTCTCCTAAACCTGCACACCTTTGAGCTGACTCATCTCTCTGGTGTGTAAAGAATAAACATCTCTTTGTGTACTGTATGACATCCACGTGTGAAACACTCGTCCATATTCTGATCCTCAGAAACATTCAGCCTTCATAAACCCACAGCTGATGTGAGACGTGGCTGCAGCAAAGGAAGATGACTGATTCTGAACTGTCTCCAAGTTTAAGAACAAATGTGCTGATAACAAGTGCTGTAAATGTTTTGGTTACGATGGTTTTAGTGTAAATGATCACAGAGATGGCCTCCATTTATAAAATCAATAAATCAGTCTGGACTCTGTTTCTTGCTTTGCTTTTGGACAAGCTTCAGTAAATTTAACAGAAAATAGATTAATTCTGCAATCCTTCAGTTAGTGAGAGAGCTGGTGTTGGTGGGATTTCCTGCATCAGCGTGTCCTCAGGCTTGTTTTCTTTGTGAGTATGATTTAGCTTTCGAAGAGGTCAAACAACAGTACAGACATCATGGCAGCAGCCTGCAAGCATTTAACTGAGATGGACTGTAACCCTGGTACACTTACAGATGAGCTCTCTGCTGTAGTCACAACTAGTGTTCTGAGTTTGCTGTGTAATAAAATATCACCTGCTGACTGATTACAAGGAGATAAAATATCAACATATGGAGCGTTTCCTTCACAAGGATCAGCTAGATTATTACACACAGAGGCCTCTGAGGGTCCCTCGTCTTTTTTCTTGGATCCTCCCTGTCTTACCCACACAGGCCACTTGAGGCACTATATCACAGCCCAGGATACATCACGCACATGCGTCCTTACGCTTAGTTAACAACAATAAAAGGGCCTGTGTTTCAAACTGAGACAGAAAAGGAGAAGAAGTTTAAAGATGGGAAGCAAGAACAGGAACTGAGTCAAGATGTAAGTTCATAGAGCGTTATTGAATTTTTTACTTTGATCATTTTCAGAAACAATGAAATGTGTTTATATTTGTAGTAAAGAGACATAAGTCCACTTCATCACTAACTTAAAGTGAAGCCAGTGAGTTTGTGTGTAAAGAAAACACTGCTTTAAAGAAAACTTTGAAGTTTAATCGGATGTTTGAATTGGACAAACAGGTATCATCTAATGTTACACTGTAAAAAAATGTGAACACCTTTTACTGTCTAACTGTGAAATCGGTGAGATGTTGTTTCCAGTGTCAGAAGTACCCTCATGTCCTATTGTTCCTGAGTTGTGGTATACACACAGAGACTGTTCTGGAAGTGAAAGTAAACTTTTCTTTGTGCGTCAGCAGTTTCTGTTCTGGCTGTCAGTGAGTTTAGGTTGTGTTTCATTGTGTTTGCTGAAGATTTAACAGAAACACCAGGCGGAAGATGTTTCTGCTATTTCTGCTCCTCATGAACGGTAATGTTATTATCACAGGTGTTATATATGAATCATTTACTGTATTTATACATGTGAAATGCTGTTACTGTCAATGATGCAGTGATTGTCATCATTATTTAAAATCTAGTCACAGCTGTGGTCAGAACAGGCATGGGTATGGTGGTAACTTGGAGGGTCTGATGATTTATTTGACCTGTTTGTTTTTAAGGTGGATTGATTGTACAGCATCCACCTTTACTGAGTTTAAAATTCGGTGCACAAGCTTTAATATATTTTGGATGTTCTTTAATCTACACAGGGCCAAACATGTACATACATTACATGTAAATTCAGTGACGTAACTTAACAGTTACAAAATTTGTATCCATATGAGAATTTTGCACCATTTCTAAACTAAATACAGGGATAAGGAAAGAGCACCACGGGCTCTGCTGTAGATTGTACTATGAACCCCAGTACAGGAAAGTCTGGAACGGCTCTCTGCTTATAGGTCGAAGTCTCTGATCCCACGAGTATCACTGCCAGTAGGGAAACAGAGCTCGGGTGGAGGAGGGCAGGAGACTCACCCAGCTCTGACTGCTGTCCGAATGTGGATCCTGCTTTCACTAAAGCTATGCTTGCCAGGGTGGCCTTGCAGCCAAGCACCTTCAGTCACATCCATCATCAGCTGCTCTAAATCTGTGAACTTGATAACTGACCAGGTTATAGTTTAGTCGCCTGTAAAATAGGCCCCAAGGATCTGTTAGGTTTTAAGGCCAGAGGTTTTACCAGTCTATCAAATCACCTAAATTATTCTTATCTAATGAATCTACTAATGGTGATTTCTAATGCTGACCTGGAGAGGAGAGAGGATGAGGAGCACGTTGAGGTCTGGAGATGCACTAATCTCTGATCTGTGTGGATATAATCCCACAGGAAGGGAACCAAATCCTTGGAGGTTAAAATCCAACACGGTAAAAATGAGCAGAGAAAAGCCAAAATGATAAATCCAA